TTCAGGCTCAGGTTCATAGGCATGCTCATAACTTCAGGGAGGTGCAGCAATGTACTTTACTCTCCGTTAAGACTGGTGGATGCAGTGAGGACTGCTCGTATTGTCCTCAGTCTTCAAGATATACCACTGGAGTAAAAGCTCAAAGGCTAATGTCCAAGGATGCTGTTATTGATGCTGCAATTAAGGTTAGTGGTTTCTGAGTTTATTCATTTTTCGTAATGTCTTTTTCTTGTTTCTTAGGACAATGTATCAATAAGAACTGTGACTAGAGTTAGAGCTGACTAGGGAGCTATCGTAATCGATAATGGTAGCAGTGGAGCTTTATCTGATTGGTCTAACAAATTTATCTAATTGTTAGGCAAAAGAAGCTGGTAGCACACGTTTTTGCATGGGTGCTGCGTGGCGAGATACAGTAGGCCGTAAAACCAATTTCAACCAGATACTTGAATATGTCAAAGAAATAAGGTGCGCTTATTATTTCCTTTTGAAGTGATCCTCCAAAGTGGCTTAGTTGCTGGATTGAATTTGACTGATACATATGTCTAAACTTAGTTGCTGAGTTTTTCCTTTTGTCACTGTAACAACAGAGAGATGGGAATGGAGGTTTGCTGCACATTGGGTATGTTGGAGAAGCAACAAGCTTTAGAGCTCAAAAATGCTGGCCTCACTGCTTATAACCATAACCTTGATACTTCAAGAGAGTACTACCCAAACATCATCACTACTAGAAGTTATGACGAACGTCTGGAAACTCTTAAGCATGTTCGTGAAGCTGGAATCAATGTCTGTTCAGGTAATTTTCGATTTACACAACAAAGGAACACAGAAATTTTCTTGTCTTCTTTGTTCTGACTTCTGAATATCATCTCCTTCTTGGTCACTGAAAGGGATTTCAACTAAGCTTCCTTTTCTCTGTTAACAGGCGGAATAATAGGGCTCGGAGAAGCGGAGGAAGACAGAGTTGGTTTATTGCACACACTAGCAACACTTCCTTCTCACCCTGAGAGTGTTCCCATCAATGCACTGCTCGCGGTTAAAGGCACGCCTCTCGAAGATCAGAAGGTATCTAATGCTGTCTGGACAAAGACAACAATTACTCTCACAAAGGATTTGGGTTCCATAAGTGACATATTTATGAGCTTGTTTTTTTGTTTTGCAGCCGGTTGAGATATGGGAGATGATCAGGATGATCGCAACAGCACGTATAGTGATGCCAAAAGCAATGGTGAGGTTATCAGCAGGTAGAGTCCGGTTCTCGATGCCTGAGCAGGCGCTGTGTTTCCTTGCCGGAGCCAACTCCATCTTTACCGGAGAGAAGCTATTAACTACTCCGAACAATGATTTCGATGCAGACCAGCTTATGTTCAAGATATTAGGCCTCACTCCCAAACCACCAAGTTTCTCTGAAGGAGATTCTGAGTCAGAGAACTGCGAGGAAGTTGCTTCTGCATCTCACTAAACCAATTGTAGCAAAAGGCCTATCAATTATCATTACATTTTTTGGTTCGATAAATTGAAAAGTTTTAGGATTTTGTGAAATCTCTGTTCCTGTTTCTGTAAGCTGTTAAAGGTGTCTTTAGTGCAAGAAGTGATTCAAGCTGAATGGAGAGAATAATTGTTAAAGGTGACTTTGACTTTCTGACCGTTTATTAGACTTAGGCCAATTTACCTACCCGCCCATACAACAAACAAAGCAAATATTTCTCTATACTCAAATGAATACACTTTTACTTCTTTGTATATCACTTGCCCAAAGGCCCCAAACACACCGGTTTGGTCACAATCACACTTGACACACGACCTCTAAGACTGAGATCCTTGGACTAAGGGGCTCTCGAGGTTGTTGTTACTGTTGAAGTTGCCATTGTTTTTACCCCATGCTCTCTTCTTCCATATCTGCTCCACTTCAAAAAACGTTAAGCCCTGCGTCTCGGGAACAACCACAATCACAAATATAACCGCGAGAACAGCAATCCCCGCAAGAATCAAGAAAGTCGTTCCAATACCAGCAGCTTCAGCTATTGACAAGAACGTCTGCGTCACAATCAAGTTGCTTATCCAGTTAACTGTTGCAGACATTCCTCCACATATGCCACGGTACTGTTGTGGGTATATCTCTGAGTTCACAGTCCATGGGACTGGTCCCATTCCTGGTGCAAAGAACGCTATATATAACGCCAAGCCTATCACAGCAAGCCAACCATAGATTCCATTGGGATCAGATGATGATGATTGTTGAAAGAACGAGACTGCGAGGATGAGGAGTGATGCAATGACACCAAATAAACTTGAGAGAGCGAGTTTTTTCCTCCCGCAGTGATCAATGAAGTAGATTCCAACAACTGTTCCAGCTGCGTTCATGGCCGCAACGATGAGGGAGAGTAACAAAGCAAGCTGATTTGAATGGAAGCCAGCCATTTGGACTATCGTGGGACTATAGTACATGACGGTATTGATACCGGTGAACTGCTGAAATGCCTGCAATTTTTTTGATATATATCTTAATTCTCGGTTTCATCTAAATCATTCTCTCTCCATTGTGAAACAAAATCATAGACTAGTTTTGTTGTCGCCATGGTTATTACCTGAAGTCCTGCTCCAGCCATAAATGCGAGCCTGATTTCTTTCGATCTGAATACATCTAAGTAGCCAACAGTGCCCTTTTTGACCCGTTCTTCCTCTGCCCCTAAAGAAAGATGATCAATCTCGTCTTGTAACCGAGAGATGTCATAGATTTTAGCAAGTACTTGGATGGATTCCACTTTACGATCATTCATGAAAAGCCATCGAGGAGACTCTGGCATGCATAGCATGAGGCCAAACTGAATAACAGCTGGAACAGCCGAAACACCAAGCATCCATCTCCAAGTTCCAGGAACCTACAAACGAAATTATCATTCTCAGAAGCCACACAATGAATGTGTTTATGTCAAGAGCTAATTAAGTTGTGACCTTAACCTGAGTGAAAGCAAAGTTTACAAGGTACGAAAGAAACTGTCCACCGGTAATCATCAACACATTTGTGCTCACTAATCCTCCCCTAACTTCCGATGGAGATGCTTCAGCTATATACACAGGCGCAGTGACAGATGCAACACCGATCCCTAAACCAACCAAGAGACGGCCTAGTATTAGTACATACGGATCAGGAGCAGCAGCCATAACAATAGCTCCAGCTACAAAGACAATATCGGCAAGCAGAGTCGCCTTTTTACGGCCATACACATCGTTAATCCAACCGCCAAATGCAGCACCAATGATGGCACCAACCAAAGCCATACTAACAATCGTTTCCTGTCAGATCATTTGAGTAAAAAAAATCAACACTTTTAATGAAGTAGCAAAAACAGATTTGAGAATATACACACCTGTAGGAAACTACTCTGATTCACCACCTCGAAATCATCCTTAATGTACAAAAGAGCACCAGAGATTACACCTGCTCAAGAACATTCACAAAAATGCTTTAACCAAAATTGAAAAATATCATCCCCACAAAATTGAGTTGCTTTTGACTTTAAAGTGAAATCCGAACTCACCGAACATAGAGGATCCGAATGAGGCAAACTGCTAAAGATTAGAGAAAAACTCCAGATTACAAAAACATCTAAGCGAAGAAACTAGAATCTACGGTCTAAAAACAGCTTAAACAACCTCAAGGCTTATTTCAAAACTTGAAAGAGAGAGAAATGGAGAGACCTGTGTCGTAACCGAAGAGAAGACCACCGATTCCAGCAACAACAGTCAAACCCAGAACGTAATGATTCCCAAAATACGACATTCTTCGCTCTGGGAACAAATCCAAATACCCAGAACTACCAGGAACGGATTGGATCGTCATAGTATTGCGACGAGGTTCAGACACGAAACTTCGCCGGAAAATGTTTCGGATTAACGGATAAGAGTAAACGCAGAAGATTGGATTGGGCTGAAAAAGTCGCCGAGCTTGATACCTACGAGGATGGTGGTGAGAGAAGAGAAAACAAAAATTAATGTTTTTTTTGGTCGCTTACATAATTTAGTTTAGAAAAAATGCGGCAAGTGGTTACCTTATTTGATTGTTTGGATTTTGGCAGTGTGTTTCTTAGTCGCGGGTTGCTCTGTTGGGGCCTGAATTCATCGTTCATCATTTAGTCGCGTGTTCTTTTTCTAAAGCATTTTACAGTAAGTTTTGCTTACATTGAAAGGGATTAACTCAAACTTTTGGCTGTGGAAACAGTTGGATGTGCTCGAAAGTTTCAAGAAAGCAGAGGTTGTAAGGATCGCGCTCTCACCAGCCCCTCCCAAAAGACGAGGCGTTTTTCTTTCTTCTTTTAGTATTAAGTTGTTTTTACCATCTCTGCCTATCTTTCTAACTAGCTGATGATACTATTTCCCCAAACAATGATGACTTATATATTAATGGTGTTTGTTGGCTTGATGAAATTTGGTAATAATAATGTAATAAGAACGGAAGCCATTGCCAAACTCAATATCTTTGAATACAGAGGAGGAGATTGCGATGCAAGTAAGTTAATCCTTGGACGCTTATAAAACAAGTAAGTTATTCAGTCCTCTGTATTCAAAGATATTGAGTTTAACAAGATGC